CCCCAAAACCCCAAAACCCCAAAACCCCATGATTGTTTTACACAAGAGTATTGGGAAAAGATAAATTAGCAATTAATGGTAGCAATTTATATTATTTGAATTATAGGATCCTTACTTAGTATAACTAATTATTAAATGATTATATATTGAGAAATATTTAGCAAAGTAGACTTAATTATTTAAAACATTCTTGATAAAATGTAACTTTTATGATTATTAATATTTCTTTGTTACATAGAAATATCAGTGATGTCTTCTGTAGCATTTTCCATTTCTGCAATAAGTGCGCTCTGGGCATAAGGTAGCAGCACACAGTCCAGGTTCACCATTATCTACAAAGTCCCTGCATGGATCGACAAAATAGTTTACCTATTAGCAATATTTTCTACCACTGCCACTACCACTACAGTATTCATCTGAGTACTAACAATCATTATCTCTTCTACAGTAGCGCAATTCAAGAGTTCTAGGTCTACAATATGGAGCAAATATCTTGGCTGAAATAATTGAAGTGTACAGAATAACTAGCAAAACTAAGTACTTCATGATTAAAACTATCTAATTATATTTTATAGAGATTTTTTTGCATAAATACTTGAATTCTCGTTATTTATAGTAACGAAGATGAAGAATTAATAAGTCAATAATGCCACTCACTCAAGTTTAAATTGAGAATAAGTTCAATTATGACCAAAATTAAAGATTCTTAATTCATTTGAGTAATTTTAAGAGTGAATTTATTTATTTACATAACACTTATTATACTAAGAAACTTATGATTAAAGTCATTTTAAAATTAACATTTATCCAATTTTATTAAATATTCTAAAGAATCATAAGTAAGGTATTTAAACTAAACAAAGCAATAAAAAATAGAAAAAGAAACCATTTGATTGATAAATTAATTCAATTAATAATTGTTCAATAATCTACGATAATCAATAGATGTTAATGGCTTTCAATTTACAACAGTTATTACATTAAGATGAGTAAATAGATATTTTAAGTAAAAGTTAATAGCTAAAATTATTTACTTCTAGCTAACATAAGTTTAACTAGACTCAGACATATTAATTACTATAAATTTTCCTGATTTATTCAATTTAATGTTACTCAATTAATTTGAATTTATCTTTTCGAATTTAATAAGTATTAACACCCGTTTATAAAAAAATATTCATTCAAGGGGTTTTGGGGTTTTGGGGTTTTGGGG